CATGAGTCTGAGAGGCTTCTGTATGCCAAAGGACACCATCACTGGGACAAAGTAGCAGACTACAGGATGGGAAAAGATTTTTACCAGTTATCCACCTGATAGAGAGCTAGCACCAAGAGCATCAGAAGTTCAAGGTGATGCCTGACTATACCCTAAGTTTGAGGCTAGCTAGGTCTACATCATGTCTTGCATCAGAAAACAAAAGCAAAAGCAACGGAACAATATCCTCAAACTGTTTCAATATTCCACCTCAAAGCACCATCTGTTGAAGAGATGCTCTGTTTTCCAATGCATGTTTTTGACACCATTGCTAGTCAAAGATCACTAGTCAAATGGTTCTAACCAAGAAGACAAATAACCACAAAGGCTGGTAGGGATGTTGGGAACAGGGAACTCTGCCCCTGATGGTGGGAGTGTGAACTGCTGCCATTACGGAAAGCAGCATGAAGAGTCCACAAAAGCTAAAATGTAGAACACCTGTCTGTTCCAGCTACAGCAGCTCTGGGAATGCACCTGAAGGATTCTAAGTTAGCACTCCATGGAGGGACTTGTACATCTTTTGTGTGGTTGAACTATTTGCAATAGTTACAACATGGAGGCAGCCTAGGTGGCCATCAGCAGGTGTCTTGATAAATAAAATGTTGTACACATATGTTTTGTTTTGTTTTGCTTTTGTTTTGTTTTGGTTTGGTTTGGTTTTTTCGAGACAGGGTTTCTCTATGTAGTCCTGGCTGTCCTGGAACTCACTCTGTAGACCAGGCTGGCCTCGAACTCAGAAATCTGCCTGCCTCTGCCTCCCAAGTGCTGGGATTAAAGGCGTGTGCCACCACCGCCCGGCAATTGTTGTACACATATGTAAGCTCTGTTCAGCTGGAAAGAAGAGTGAACCTGTGGCACTGGCAGAAAAACTGAAACTGGAGATCATTATGATTTACAAAATAAGAGACGTGAAAGGCAGTGCTTGTTTTTATGCAGAATCCAGATCTAAATTCACAGATGTGCATGTTTATGTGGGACATGGAGATAGGGTACTGTAATCTGGGAGGTAGACTTGGAAAGAGGTAGAGAATGAGAGGGTAATAGAATATGTGTCACTAAAGCAGGAAGGAGAGTGTTTGTGGGGTAAAGGGGGGCACAGCAGGATGCTGGGAGGGGCTAGGTGGAAAGACGGTGAAGAGCTAAGAACACTGGTATGAAAATGTCACAATTAAGACTCATTTCTTTGTATGCTCATCACAAAATTAACATTTTAAAACACAGAAAAAGTTGAGGTTCATGAAATCAAGTGGCTTTCCAAAGTTGACAGAACAGATTTTCCAACCAAATACCCTGTCTCCACATCAATAGTTGTGATGGGTGATTTTATGCATCAGCCACAGCATACCTAATATCTGTTAAATTTCTGCTTAGGTGCTTCCTTGAGTGTATTTTAACTTTTTAAAATCATTGCTTGAGTGAAACAGAATATCTCCTACTATATGTGTGTGGCCTCTTTCCAAACAGTTGCAAACCTTAAAGAGTGAAGTCCTTTGAGGAAGAAGAAATATTGCCTCTAGACGACTTTCAGCACTGACTCCAGCATCCAGTCTTCTCCGGCCTGTACCTGGCCAGCCTGCATTTCCAGCTTGCCATTCCTACTGAATGAACACATATCTCAAGAGGCTCTCTCCTCCCCTGCTCTCTCTACATTTAGATACTATTTATACACATCCTATGGGCTCTGTTTTTCAAGAGAGTTCCGTGCTACAGTTTGTTACACAATGTTGCCCATGCTGCTGTTTTCTCACTGGGTGGGGGTGGTGGAACCTTCCTGAGGTGGGGCTTACTGGAGGGAGGTTAAGCCATTGTGGTCACCACTCTTGGAAGGGACCCACTGTTCAGTATTGCATGAATGGGCTGTTTGAGAAGAGTCTAGTCCTGGATCTCTGGTTTCCTGTGTTGTATGTGCTCCCACTACTGAAGTGTGCTCCCACTACTGAAGCAACCTCCACTGTGAGGTCCCAACCAAAGTGCACACATAGCACACAGATTTTAGAATATCATCTTATAAAATCATGAGCTGAAGAGAACTCCTTGTGCACTTCAGTCCCTACGCATTATTCTTACTGTAACAGGATCCCAGACTTTAGCCCACCAAGACCTTAGCACAACTGACTCCAAGACGGAAATACCATTCAGTATCCCCATGATTTTAGCACAACTGACTCCATGATAGATGGACCATTCAGCCTGTATAACTGAGCATGTAGACAGCGCCACCTGCCAATATGAAAATGAAGATCTAATCCATCAAAGTAGTTCTGGGAAAGTCTCTTAATGTACTAACCTTGCCTTTTGGCTTCTGTAGTTCTGCTTCTTGTTAACTGAAGCCTGTCAACTCAGGACAAGGCTTTGTGCTTAACAGCTCACCTCAAGAAAGGCTTGGGGCTACACTGGGATCCTGAATACCAGTATAGTTGAGGTTTTGGTGGGTACCCCAGAACAGTTACAGTAATTGAAATAGACTAATACAAAAAGAAAAACCCGGTACTACTGCTGTCTGCTGGTCCCTGGTCATATGGCTGTGGCGATTCATTCCAAGTTCTTCAGGTTTTAGTGTCACTGTTTCCAAAATAATAAAATCACATTGGACTAGGGTTTCTTAACTTCAGTGGTGATGTGAGTGGATCTTCACTGGGTAGGATGAGGGTTGAGAGATTTTCCTGTGAATTTCAGGCTGTTCAGTGGCACTGTTGGCCGTGAGATGCCAGGAGTGGTACCCAGGTGTAAAACCCAAAAGATCTCTAGACATTTCAAAACATCTGCTGATGGGAGCAAGAGGGCAAAAGAACCATTGACCCTCTTTCTAAGCAACATTGTATGACATCATTTGTTATAACATACGCATAAGAAATATTCTGTTAGAGACAGACAGCTTTGAGAATTTCAGGAGAAGGCTCCTAGGTATTCAGCTCAATGATCTAGAGGCGATAGCCTAAGACCCTGCAATCCTTATAAATCAAACTTTCTTTAGCTCATGTAAGAAACAGATGAGAACTAGTCAAAGACCATGAAGACTGGAATCTGTGAGCTCTAGCAAGGTACGAGCCGGCAGCTAGAGGCCAGGTGTGGGATGAGAACAATCACGTTCTTTTAAAAGGAAGAGAGAATTTAGCTCTTCCTCTCCAAGAAAGGAAGCTTAGATGGAAAGCAGCTGTCCTTTCAGCCATTATCATCTGATCATCAGCCAATGACAACCCGTACTCTGTACTGGGAGCCAGGCATAGCCACACAGAGGATGGCAGGGTTGCTAGGCTCTGAGTGCCTAGGAATTACAGGCTTATGAACCTCTGTTGACAAGAATGCATATATGTATATGTGCAAGATACATATATATTTATATATATGTGATATATATCACATATATATTTATATATATA